CCCAGGGCGGAGTCCAAAAACCGAGGTAAATTTTTGCGGCCGGAGCTGGTTGCAACCCGAAAAGTTCGTAAGCAGAGGCATTCGTAACCCGAGGTACCACTGTATTTGTGAAATCGGCATGTTACTGTAGACTTGAAATGTTCTGTGTAGTCAGTGCTTCTCTACATTAAGGGACACTATATAATAACAGGAAGAGAAGTGCAAAAATAGTACAATGAACTCTGAGTGAGGAAGGAATCTTGATTTTTCTCCCTCTTCAAAAAAAGGTTGGTAAATGAAGCATATTATAAAATGATGAGCAAAGTTACCAAAGTGTTAATTTCATCAGAAAAGTTTATGATCTGTGAGTCTTGTGATATGAACATAAGAAACAAGCAACAGATATGTTTAGGAATTCTTCATTGATTTCATCTTGACCTAATTGTAGCACTTAATTGCATATCACATCCCCAAAAGCGTAATACTGTTAAGAGTATTTTGTGGATCCTAAGTTTCATCTACATCCAGTTCTTGCCTCCAGGCATGGAGCTGAGGACCTTTGCCCCCTTTTTTTTTTTTTTTTTTTTACCTTTAGCTGATTAACCATCTTGCACTTCTGACTGTTTTAAACGTATGTAGAGTATTTTTCATTGTAAGTCATGTTTTTAATTCTCTTTCATAATTATCTTGTTCTGGGAGCTTTTTAGGTAGAAAAGTAGGATTTTAAATAGTTCAATGCATCTTTCATAATGGAATAACTTAAATTTAAGCCCCCAAGTTATGTGTGCTTCTGAGTTTTATAACTGTTGATTACATCTTCAAGTGTCACTGCTCAGAGTTTGAATCAAGAATGGCAAATCCCATAAAAATTACTTGTAGGAAAGTTAAACTTTTCTATATTTTTGCAAACATACATAGTAACTTGTCATTTGAATAGTGAGTGTATGTAGGATTGTTAGATCCCAAATATTTGACATCAGGTATATCCCCCCTCCACACATTCACAATCTTAAATTCACTTCACTAAATCAGTTTCTATCTTAGCTACATGCTCTTAAGTTGCTTCCTAACAATATTTTGTTCTTACTTTCCTTAGCACTGAGGTTCCAAGGTAGCAAAATGTCGGTCATAGCAGAACCACAGAACAGTCCTCTGGAAAATGATATGGAAGTAGAAACACCTGCTTCTGTACCACCTCGAAGCCATTCAGCTCTTCCTGGTGAGTAAAATATAATCTGACTATATACTTAATTTATGCAAGTAAACTGGAGAAGGATATTGCTCATTTCTGAATATTAAAAGATCTTATAAATCAGTATTACTGAATGCTCCCCTGAATATTTGGAACTGGATTGACATTTCAGTCTAAAGCCAACTCTGTTCACATTCTAACTGCAAAACTAAACATTTACTTGTGTTGTCTTGCTCAGACATTTTATATCCAGTGGTTTAGCACAATTTTGTTTGCCACTAGAAGACTCTAGAATACTGTTGCAACCACAACAATTGGTATAGTGAAATGGCACAGTTTCCTTTGTCTTCCTAATTTGAATCATACAGTTTGGTGGCTGACTATTTAGTCAGCCAGCCAACCAGTCTTCATTGATTTGGACTTGACACCATCCTGAATATTACAGATACTCCTTATATTCAGGATGTAACTCACTGCTCTCTGAGCCTCTGTGATAGATGTTGTGTGTTGGACACTATCTCATTATTTTATGCAGGATTACAAACACCAAAAATACAAACATGCATATGTGTGTTTGTATACACACACAAATATACATCCACACATACATACATTACAATCTTGTGATGTCACACAAGGATGCAAATCTTCCAGGATTTGACTTCCAACAGTTTGATCATTTTTAAGTTATATATAAAGTTTAAATTTTAGTTTCTTAAAATTTTGAGTCGATGTGTGCCATCTGGTGTCACTAGGGCCATACTCTGGTTCAGAAGAATGTTGAGAAGATCCAGGGAAATTTCATCAAATAAAAATGTGACTCACAAGAGTATTTTGGACTAAATTCTAGTGGCTTTGTGCAAATGCTTAAGTAGCATTTGGCTAATATTTTTTCTCTAGAGGTGGCAGAAGAGAATTATTTTGATAAACTTAAACTAGTTAAATTCTAGATATCAGGTTCACAATGGGTGAAGGGAGTAGTTGGAGGCCCTTTAGGAGTTAATGTTTCTCTTCCTCTGAATTAAACACTACAAGCCATCGTGTTGTTTTTTATGTTGTCTTGGCCATTGTTTTTAACCAGTAGCTTCTTGCTTCAACAGTTGTACGAGCTCGATCTAGGACTAGTTACTCTTCTGATAGATGCAGTATTCAACCTAATGGTAATGAAGTGACAGAAGAACCTCCACAGTCTCTCAGAATTGTTTCTGCAGCCATTCAAGGTAGAAGAAAGGTTACCAGGTTTACTTCATAATTCCTTAATTCTGTCTCTTTAATGAACAATGCTTAGTCTGGCAGGTAGCTTCTGTTACTGTCTTCTTTATGGAGCTGGTGAATAGATAATGGAATATCTTAATTAAAGCTTGGCTTTAACTTGGGTTGTTCTTACCAGTCAAAAGTGAAAAAGAAGTTTAGCTCTGAAACATGTAGTGTTACCTTGCATATTCAAAATATACCAACAAATCAGTCTGTTGAAATAATAGCAGTAGGTGGGACTCCTGATCATGCTATATGATTTCAATATAAACTTGAACCTGCATATCCCTATACCAGAAGTTAATTAATATTATTAACTGATATTGTCCTTAAGGGCAATAAAATGGTAAACTTTTCAGTTATTCAGGGCCATCTGGAAAACTTACAGATAGAATAGCAGTTTTTGAATTTAGTTTGTTTAATTTTTCTGTCAATAATAATACCCCTGCTTCCTGTAGCTCGGAGGAAATCTAATATTGTAAAAGAAATGGAAAAAATGAAAAATAAGAGGGAAGAGAAAAGAGCCCAGTTTTCTGAAATAAGAAACAGGCGGGCACAGGTAAGAATGTGATGCTTAATTCTTCAAGTGAAATTTCTGCATGATGTTTCATTTAATAGCTGAATGCTGTGACTCAGGTGACATGAAAAATATTTTTGCATTCATGCAAAATATTTTTCATCTCATGAATATTTTGCATGAAAAATCATTCTGCATTTAATGCATAATGTCCAATAATATATTTCCACAAATGGTAGTAGTTGCAGCTGACAGAATGTTCCCTAACTATAAGGAATATACAACACCAAGCATTCTGGAAAATTAATCCTCTATATTGGGAATAGTATTTGGTGTTGTCAGGTGGAGAATTCAATTCAGTTCAATTCACCACCCCAGAACATCAGAATCAGTGTGATAGGTAAAACAGAACATTCTACAGTTCTTTGGAATCTTTTTTGGAACATTTGGTTTTGTGCATCCCTACTGGCTATACTTCTAAAAAAAGGTTTATGCCAGATGTATGTATGTTGCAGTAAGCTGTCTGGGCATGCTGGATTCTTTAGATCAGTATTTCCCACCTTTGGCAACTTCCAGATGTGTGGGCTTCAACTTCCAGAATTCTCAGCAATGGCTGTGCTGGTTGTGGAATTCTGGGAGTTGAAGTCCATACTTCTGGGAGTTGCCAGAGTTGGGAAACACTGTAAATTTCTGGCCTTCCAGATGGTGGTGGATTATCATTCTAAGCATTGCTTATGATTAGCCAGACTGGTTAATGAGAACTATGCTTCAGCAACATCTGGAGGTACACAGGTTTCCCATTTGTACAAGCAGACTGAATTATTACCTGATAAAACTTTTATAAAGAAGACTTCAGCCCAAGTAACATAACAGACAATATCCAGCTGAAATTTTTGCTTAATTATTTGCTTTTCTATAATCCCTCTATTTTCAAATTAGCACTACATATAGTTAAGAGAAGAAAAAGATTTTGCGTCCTTGATTCTCACTAATCCAAGACCACCTATTTTATCTTACAGGAATTTGACAGTAGTTGTCCAAACTGGGATTTTGCACGAATGGTTAAAGAATATCGAACTACTATTAACTGCCAATCATTATCAATGAATGATCCGGTAAGTAAAGATATGTAAACTACCTTAAATGTCTTCTCATTTAGTATTAGTAAATGCTTTTCTTGGAATATGATAACCACATTTAAAAGGCAAGAAATAGAATTCTTGGCAAACATCAATAACCAGAAAGTAAATTACTTGTGCAGGAGAGCTTCTCCTAATCTACATGTATTTTCTGGATTATTTGAAATGAGTTCCTAAATGTATTTATTGTATTACTTAAAAGAGTCCTAATACTATAATGGGCAGGTAACATCAAGTGGAGATCTAATGTGGAGCAAAATCATCTAAAACCTCAAAGCGCAATATGTTGCAATGTGGAATTAGTTGGATCTTATCTCTGAATAAATAGTTTATGATCAGAGTGTAAGGTATACTTATAAATAATTAATCTAAAGAGGAGAAATTGGCAATTTAGGTTTCATTATGCCTATTTCTAAAGTTTTCCTGATGATATTTGCTTATCTGTTTTGTCCAGATAAGTCATGTGAGTGATAGTAACAGAAATATTTAATTTTGGTTGCTATGTTATGTCTTTGCGGGGATAGGGGAAACTGTCAAAATCATCATCATATTCAGCATTCCTCAGATTAAAATTCCCGAAAAAGATTGACATCTGATGCTATTATAATACATATGAAGTTTTCTTAGATCTTTGAAAAAAGTAATTTTAAAGAAGTAAAGTTATATTCTTCATTACAGTGACACTACTGTTTTCAATCTCTTTAATAATAATAATATAATAATAATTTTATCCTGACTTTTTTATATAAAATTCAAGGCAGTGAACATACCTAATATTCTTACTTCCTATTTTCCCCACAACAACAACAGCAACCCTGTAGATCACATTTTGTGGTCATGCAGAGTTCTCAACAAAGCCTCTTTTCTGATGAGTGCTTTTATGCTTTTTATTCTTAAAACATGCATGGATTCTGGGGTGCCACTGGTGTGTGTGTGTGTGTGTGTGTGTCAAAAAAGTCAAGTTGATGGCCACGACTGCACAATCAAAACCCTGGTTCTTTTTAATGCTTGTCAGGGTCAAAAAAAGTCAAGATGGTAGCCACAGCTGCATGCACATTCACACAGTTGTGTCTGCAATCTTGACTTTTTTGACATTCCCCTCCCTCACGGGGACAACCCTGATGGATTAGTGAAAAAAGATGTCTGATCTTGCCTCCTCATATGATTTGCAATCTTCTTTTAAGATAGAAGAGCATAGAATTTGTGTCTGCGTGAGAAAACGACCCTTAAATAAGCAAGGTAAGATGCCATTCAGAATTTAGCAATTCATGGATCAGTTCACTATTGTTCCTCATAATGGGTTCTTTGTATCTTCAGATATTATGTGTTGGAAGCTAGAATGCCATTATTGAGTAAAAATGTCATTTTAAAGTGATGTCAAACAAAAGCCTGAAACTAGGGTGGAATACATTAATAGACCTCTTGAACAAATCTCCTTGGGGGTGTAGTGCATAGGAGTTATAACTTATTACTCTATCACTTTTCAACTGAATGGTATTTCATTTCTGTTTGAATTTTTCTCTAACACTTTATTGTAATCACAATTTTCCTAAAAGAGATTCTGTGCTGAGGCTTAGTTTGTGCAGCAGTAATCATGCAAATGATTGTTTTCCTGACATGTTTAAATGTTTGTGGAAATCACAAGGTCCTATTTCATGGACCTTTTTTCTACTTTTTTCCTCGTAAACAGAACTTGGAAAGAAGGAATGTGATATAATCACTGTTGTTAGCAAGAACAGCATCCTGGTGCATGAACCAAAGGTGAAGGTGGATCTGACAAAATATCTTGAAAACCAGCCTTTTCGATTTGACTTCTCATTTGATGAAAAAGCTACCAATGAGATGGTTTACTGGTAATGGATATTTTTCCTCCTGGTAGAAGATTGACAATTTTCAAAGTTAACAATAGATACTGAGGACTAGTTCGTAAATAATGCTTTCTGAGTGCTATGCTACCAAAAAAATGTAATGGAATATTTTAAGAGTTTTGCTCTTTGTATTTGCTGATATATATATCAGAGAGATATAATATGATTCTTCCTTTCAGCAAGTGCTGCATTGGATTTCCTTTGCAAGTATGGAGTTGTTATCGTGGTCATTTAAGCAGTCTCTGCAAATAAAGCTTCTGCAATAGGGCTATGGAGAAGTGTATTCCGAAGTGCATTGGTACAAGTGAAGTAACCCTCCTTGAAGTATTAAATTAAATTCTCTGGGAGAGTTGGTACAGCTATTTTGAAAGCTTTCCCTGGCTTTCTCTGCATGCATGGACTTTGCTGGTAAACTTTATAGAAATGTGGCCTGTGCATACATATAGATGCAGACACACCAGAGTAAGCCTTTGAAATACCTGAAACTTCTGCAGCATGTAGCTACTTTAATGCTTTGAAGAGGGGTGTTTCACCTGTGCTAATGTGTTTTGTAAAATACTCATTTTGAACATTTTGTTGTTGTTCAGTCATTAAGTCGTGTCCGACTCTTTGTGACCCCATGAACCATATTGCA